ATGGAAACTAGCAAACATGTTAACAGAACTCATGTTCTGGGACTGAACATATTTAAATACAAAACATTACTCTCTCTGTATATGAATGACTTTGTGCACATGACAACCACTTTCTAACACATTTCCTCATTAGTTTGTTGTGAGGATTATGTAAGGTCATGTTTACACAGGGCAAGAAGCATAATACCTAATAAATGTTGGTTATAATTATTAATAAGATTTTTACAGAGGATAACCTATTGATTTTTTTAGAAAAACACCAAACTGTTTTAAAATTGTGACAATATCACCAGAAAAAAAGTAAGCTTATTGTACTCTTTTTTTAGGTTACAAAACCACAAGGGAATTCTATAATAAAGACAGTGTTCTCCAGAAATCACAACCAGAATAAGTGCTAGAAGTCTGAGTTGTAGATATGAAAGATTAACATTATGCATCAACTACACAGTAAACCCCACAAGTTCAAGTACATTCTTTTCCCACTAATCCTAACACTTTAGGGAGCTCAGAAACATATTATTGACCCAATAAACATCTTTTGAATAACTGAATGAATAACCAGGGAGAATATAGAAGGGTATGTAAATGAATAACAAGAAATAAGACATCTAAGATAGGAGGTAATTCAGAGTGAGTTACTGGTAGTCCTAGGCAAATGGCAAAGGACCTAGTGAGTTCAGAGAAATTGTTGCAATCAAAATGAATGAAGAATCTTAGAGAAAGCTTGCTAGGGAGATGGCTGTGTGCTCTAGAAAATGGAATACACCACAGAAAACAATGAATGAATCACAAAAATTGGAAAACTCAAGGCCCACAGTTACACTGATATACCAGCATTCAAGTGGTTCTGGTGAGAGCAGTTTCAGCTTAAAATTAGAGTGGTAGAGGATCAGAGAAATGAAAGTCAGCTTCCTCCTAATCTAAAGGACCAATAAGAATTGGACCTTTGATTTTGCATATGAAATGTTTTCTTAAAGAGGAAAGATGTATGGAGGGACACAGCAACCAAAAAGGAGGACACAGAATACATGAAAACACAACAATCTAGAAGAGTCTAACATGATTTATAAAGAATCATGCTGAATTGAATAAAGGGGAATATATTGACTATGACAAAAATTAAAGTAACATCTTTCAAGATGAGTAGTAATTTCTGTTTTGTATCATTTGTATTCTAAAATATGTAGAATTTCCTGACAAAAGCACAGAACCTACTACAATGTAGTAGGTTCAATGTAAGAAAAACAAAGATTAAAGTCATGATGCTGGTAGAGGCTCACAGAAGGGTTCCACCTCAGGTCATTTAAGCATGTACAGGATCATCTGGGAAGCCTTCTGAGTGGATGCCACGTTGTGTTGTGCTGCCACACAAGCAGAGCTGGAATTGTGAGATACTGTTACCACTGGTCTGCCCTATTTACTGTAGTCTCTCCTTCCTCCTTACAACCAGAGTGTTTTACAAAAAGCAATGGTGATATAATTCATTATCAAAGTTGGGTTTACTTGGCTCCTTCTTGCTATGCTGTTTATCGTATAGTTCAAAGCAAATTTAATACGTATAATAAGTCTAATATTGCTCTAATTTTATACCATAAACCAAAATACAATGAGGGAATCTAAATAATACATATTAGGAGTAATCCTTGCATATAAACTTAGTAGTGAACTGCATATCTCCTTCATCTGTTTTTTATTTATTCATTCAACAAATAACTTCTTTAGCTTCTATTTTGTACCAGGAACTACTCTAAATGCAAGGATACAATTTTAAAATACAGACAAGAATGCCACCCTTGTTATGCTTTTATTCAAGGGTTTGTTACAGAGAATGAGGAGTTCTGGAGAAGATAATTAACAAGTTAACAGTTTTAAACCCTTTTTACATAAAAACTTACTGGACATCAATTTTGAAAATTGCCTGTCTGACAGTTTGAGTTGTGAGCTGCCTGTTATGCTGACATACACTCTAAAGAAAGCATGATCTTTGGGTACATGAATTATCTTTGTATTTGATACAAGTGCCTTTGAAACACTTTCCATAATTAGAAACAGCAAATGCCTTTCTATATTTAATGGTAGCTTCTTATGCTGCATTTTATAAAACTTTATCCTTCTCATTAAAACAATAACAACTAAATTACAGAAAAAACATAATGTATAAGAAAAAAGTGCCCTAATCAAGTACCTTCATACATTCAGGATTTTCATGTATTACCTTCTAATATTCCTAAATCTTTACATAGCTACGAATTTACTAGGTTACAATCATAATATAAAATAATGTTATATAAAACATACTGTTTTATTTTATTTGAGTTTATTTTGAGCATTTTCATTATTTCATATTTTGTTTACTAGATTTAGAAATTAGGATAAAAGCAAGGACATGTATTTGCCTTTTACCAGATCATTTACTTATTTTTATAAAAGATTAATTTATTTGTTGGAAAATCAGAGTTGGGGCGGGGGGGAGAGGGAGAAGGTGATCCTCTATCCACTGGTTCACTTCCCAAATGGCCACAATAGTCAGAATTGGACCAGGCTGAAGCCATGAGCCAGGAACTCAATCCAGATCTCCCATATGACTGGCAGGGGCCCAAGCACATGGGCCATCATCCACTGCCTTACAGGCATGTGACCAGGAAGCTTGATTAAGAGCCAAGCAGCTAAGGGAGGGATGACATTGTGGCAAAGTGGGTAAAACCACTGTCTGCATCCCATATGGGTACTGGTTCTTCTGAGTTACTCCACTTTCAATCTAGCTCCCTGCTAACGGTCTGGGAAAGCAGCAGAAGATGGCTCAAGTGCTTGGAGTTCTGCACCAATGTGGGAGACCTGAAAGAAGATCCTAGCTCCTGGCTTTAGCTTGGCCAAGCCGTGGAGTTGTGACCATGTGTGGAGTGAACCAGTGGGTGGAAGATATTTCTGTATGTCTTTCTGTCTCTCAAATAAATAAATCTTTTTTCAAAAAAAAAAGAAAGACAAGTAGCTGGAACTTGAACGATCACTCAGATTTCAGATACTGATGTAAGCAAGTGGTTCTTAACCTGCTGCACCACAAAGCAAAAGGAAGAGAGAAATGCTATAAAATTACATCAAGAAGATCCCTAACATGAGAGAGATGAATCAACATTAAACATGTCCCTATAATTGTGCCTTGGAAAGTTTCAGTATGGGGTCATTTGTTCCAATCTGTGTAATATTCACCTCCATGAATAATTAAATGTTAATAAAACAATTCTGATAAAAATAAATAATTACAATTAGTATTAACTAAAAGAGGCTCACAATTACCAATAAAAATGCTACATTTATAACACAGAAATCGGAGATCTGAAAGGGTTAAAGAATATAGTAAAAGTAACAATGGATAAGATATATTTACACTAGACTTCTTTAACTACTGTAGAAAATAGTCATGCAGTGTGGCAGTTCACTTTACAAAAATTAACAATAAAATATATGCAAGGAAAATAAAACTTTAAATGAATCCATAATTACATCATGTGATAGTTGGTAGCCATGAGAAATAGATTATACATAATCCATAATAAAAACTGGAACATTTGCTGTATACAGAGTGATCTGCTAGTCTACAAACACTCATGAAATGATGCAAACAAGTAAACAAGCACTAGCTTGATATATAAGACAGGTGATCAAGGTCAGAGCTAAGTTCAAGTCACTAGAATCATAAACTTAAGTCAGGACTGTCATCCTATCATAATCCGTCTAAAATTCAGGAATCACCTGGAAAATCGCACTTCTTCACTGTAAAGGAAAAGAATCTAATGCTTTCAAATGAGTTAAGAGTGACAGTTAAGGGTTTAAGCTCTGAAGCAACTAATACTTATAAGGATTCTTCTCAAATCTATAAAAATTTCCTGCCTATTAAGCAACTCAGCAGGATAGAAGATGACCTTGTCTAAGATTAGAAAGCAACTCTACAAGATAGATGACGACCTTGACCAAGGTTGGAATTCTACAGACAACAGGTACTTTAAGAACTGACAATTTACATTCCACATATCAGAACACCTTAAGTAGATCCCAAAATTGGTGTGGAATCTGGCAGAGTTAGATAACCTAATATGGATCCCAAAAGTGAGGATATAATTAAATTGACTGCTGATGGACGATAAAAGCTCAAGGCATCTTTCTCATTGTTCACTCTACCTTCCCACTATAAAAGTGTCATATTTTGCAGACTTTCCATCCAAAATTGCTTTAGAACAAACCAGGTTTGTTTTATACAACACTATCCCTTTCAGTCTGAAACAGAATATGCTCTACTTTTATCCTGAACTTAAGCACCACATGTGATTCTTACTTGTCCTTATATCTCCACGAGTGCCTTACACATAGCAGGACTTTCTACATACTGTCTTTGAATCCTACATACTTGGGAGTTACAGCCTCCTATTAAGTTTAAAATTATAATTATCACAAGGGTAGCTTATTCCATAGCACAGAAAGAAAGAATCTATCTTTTTATGTATTTTCTTTCATTCACTGTCATCTGAATTCCAAATAACAAAAACGTTAGGTCATTTTCCTTAAGGAAGCAGATATCCTCAAGGTTGCTTTATCTTCTGTTCCAAAAGATATCATCATTTAGTATCCGCATATATGCTTCTTAGGGATCTGTCCATCTCATAACTACCTAACAATGCATTAAAACCAATAGGCACTCCATGATGCTAATCCCAGTGAAAGACAACCCAAGTGCTAATAAAATCACCATTCTAACAATATGGAAAAGACATACATTTTCATAAACATGTAGTATCAGATTGAAGAACACAGGTACACTAGTAAGAGATACTGAGAGCTTACAAGACAACTTTGTGCCTTTTATCTTGTAGTAGGCTTGAAGTTAATTAGTTTGAAGAGCTCCAAGAGCTCCAATTTTAAGTACAGATTGTATAGGATAGACACCAGCAAACTATTTCCTTTAAAGGGTTAGAGGACATATATTTTAGGCAGTTCAGGCCACTTACAGTTTTTGTTGCATATTCTTCTTTGTTCATTTGTGCTCTCAACCTTTAAAAAACATAAGACATTTTTAGCTATGGGCCATAAAAAATAGGCTGTGGGCCATATTTGGCCTGAGAATGTTGGATTGCCAATCTACTTTATTCACAGAATTATGCCTTCTGTCCCCAATATACTAAGAAAACCTAGAGAAGAGGGGTGGAATGTGTTTTATTCACTTTAATTTTTCTACTGACTACTACAGTGACATGCATAAAGCAGCTATTCAATAAGTGATATTTAAGTGAATATATCTGTTAGCAGTCACAGACAGAATTATTACTTAATATATTAGTACAATTATAATGATTTAATTATTTGTATTCATAACAGCTGATCCTTCTCTCCTAGGCACCTAGTTTTTGCTAATTTATAAAAGTAATTTCATTTATTGTGGATGATTCCTATTTCGGAAATTATTTTAACTTTTTCTAATGCTTATATTTCACCATGTGCTTCCATTTAATCAATAAATATATTTGCCAGTCTTGTATTAAGGTTCTATATCTATCTATATATAATGAAATAGGATGCAAACTATATTTAAAATATCTGATTGTGAATCTTGCCATATGAAGTACTTAAGGAGAAAAATTATCTGTGTCACTCTCAGCACAATGCCTAGTGCACAGAAGGTTTTACTGGTTGTTTGTAATAAAATATACTAATTTTGGAGTTCAATGTATTTGAATTTCTTTACTCCCATATGTAGGATTCCTTTCCTTTCCTTCTTCCTGTAATTTTTCACTATTGTGAAAATTTTTTCTCAAATTTTCTTAAATTTGCTGTGCTTTTTCAAACTACGAACCACATGAAATACTGTTAACAATGTTAATACTCATAATAAGAAAAACATATTTCCTTCTAATCCTTGTACAGGATGCAATTTGAAAAAAATGTGACCTGTCCTCTTAACCATCACAATATTGACTTTCCAAGATTGTATTTGTAAAGCAACTTAAGACAACTATACAGATATCATTTACAATCAAATAAATTGATGAATTACTAGTGGCTCCAGAGTGCTAACAAACTAGTTATTTTGATCATTAATAAATTGTGAGTATTGAATCAAAAGTTGGTAAGAATTTTAAGATGTGGCTCTTTAAATGTCTTTAAATCCATAGTGAGACCAGTACTTTCTAATAAATTTAAGCTTTACAACATAAACTATCATTTCCTAAGATCATTACAGTTAAAGTACACATATAAAATTAAGTCTAGCCAACCCTGAGAAAAAAAGACCTATGGATTGAGAAACAATTAAGAACATATCAGCCGGCGCCGCGGCTCACTAGGCTAATCCTCCACCTTGCGGCGCCGGCACACAGGGTTCTAGTCCCGGTCGGGGCACCGGATTCTGTCCTGGTTGTCCCTCTTCCAGGCCAGCTCTCTGCTGTGGCCTGGGAGTGCAGTGGAGGATGGCCCAAGTACTTGGGCCCTGCACCCCATGGGAGACCAGGATAAGTACCTGGCTCCTGCCATCGGATCAACGCGGTGCACCGGCTGCGGTGGCCATTGGAGGGCAAAGGAAGACCTTTCTGTCTGTCTCTCTTTCTCACTATCCACTCTGCCTGTCAAAAAAAAAAAAAAAAAGACTATATCAACCCATTCGGATCTGGCTGAAAAGCCCATGAGAGTATTTCAGGCATGGAAAGCTAAGACACTCTGGCAAAAGATCTCTGCGAGTGAGATCGCAGTGGAAAGAACAGGTCTTCACAAGAAGGAGGTTCCTCTCTCTGAACGGAGGAGAGAACCTTCTCTTTGACTATGTCCTTGTCTAAACAAGATAAGAATCGGAGAACTTCGAGGGCTTCCATAGCCTTGCAAACTCATGACTGGAGCATAGGGAGATTACTGATGCCATAGCCAGGAGTGTCAATTGGTAAAGTCACCACCAGGAGTCTCTGTGCACTTACTCCTGACTCTCACTGGGATTAACATGACAATAGGTCTGATCTGATTTCATCATCATTTAAAAAAAAATCATCTATTATTTTTCACTTTGTGTTTCTGTGTGGGAGCAAACTATTGAAATCCTTACTTAATGTATACTAAGCTGATCTTCTGTATATTAAGATAATCGAAAATGAATCTTGATGTGAATGGAAGGGGAGAGGGAGTGGGAAAGGGAGGGTAGTGGGTGGGAGGGATGGTATGTGGGGGAAGCCATTGTAATCCATAAATCGTACTTTGGAAATTTATATTCATTAAATAAAAGTTAAAAAAAAAGTAAATTAAAAAAAAAGAATATATCAACCAACTGCAATATATGAATCTTATTTATAACTTGATTCAAACAATGGCAAATAAAAAAACAAAAAAAGCTAAACTTGGAATGCAATTGTAAAAATCGGAAAAGTAAATGATGTATGACAATAATTAAGGGCACTTTTTAACTTATCAGTATGACATCAGTATTGTTTTTTATTTTTTATAGATTTATTTATTTGAAAGGCAGAGTTACAGAGAGGGAGACATACACACAGAATGTGACGGAGAGATTTTTCCACCCACTGGTCCACTCCCCAAATGGTCACAATGAGCGCAATGGTCAGGGCTGGGCCAGGGCAAAGCCAGAAGCCTGGAACTCCATCTATGACTTCCATGTGGTGGCAGGAGCCCAGGCACTGAGGCCATACTCTGCTGCTTTCCCATGTCCATTAGCAGGGAGCTGATCAGAAGTGCAGCAAGTGGGACGCAAACTTACACTCTTATGGGATATCTGCATCACAGGCTTAATCTACTGTGCCACAGTTCCGGTCTCTATTGTAGATATTTTAAAGAGCCATTGATGAAAAAGTTCTAATAGACCGAATGACATACTCCTTTTAAGAAAACTAATTCCATTTCTCTTTGTCCAGTCTAGCGGTTTAGGTAAGATAACCATGAAATACGGCTGTTGGTCTTCCAGATCCCCATTCTTGTTTCAGACAGCAAATCAGTTTGTAACTTTGCCTCTCATTACTGAAAAAACAAAGAAATAAACTTGACTGAATCTTCAAGTCCTACTTTACCTAAGGATGAATGATAGCCTTGCCCTCTTTGGTCACATGCCAGCACATAATCCCCTCTCCTATCGTCTCTATTTTTCCTTCGCTGCCTCATTCTACTTGCAAGCTGCCTCTCCCCTGAGCCATCTCTGCATTCATCTCTTCCCATAAACATTTTCTACTGTATCTCTACCACTGTTCCTATAATTATCAATTCACATTTGGTAATCCCTTGTATCTTACTGTCTTCACAAAATGCTCTCTCTGGAGACCTCTTTGAGGGAAACACAGAGGACAGCTTTCCTCTGGTGGCCCTTTCTAGAGAAACTTTTATTCACCCAAAGACCTTTTCGTAACATTGTAATCGAGTCTGGAGAAACACTGAGTCAGCATTCTTTTAGCCACTCTTAATCATTTCCAAATCATTACTGACGTATCCTCATATAAAAATTCTACTCTTTTTTTTTTTTAATTTATTTAACAGGTAGAGTTATAGACAGTGTGAGACAGAGACAGAGAGAAAGGTCTTCCTTCCGTTGGTTCAACCCCCAAATGGCTTCCATGGCCAGCGCTGCACTGATCTGAAGCCAGGAGCCAGGTGCTTCCTCCTGGTCTCCCAAGCGGGTGCAGGGGCCCAAGCACTTGGGCCATCCTCCACTGCCCTCCTGGGCCACAGCAGAGAGCTGGACTGGAAGAGGAGCAACCGGGACTAGAACTGGCGCCCATATAGGATGCCGGCACTGCAGGCGGAGGATTAACCAAGTGAGCCATGGTGCCGGCCCGATTCTACTCATTTGAGGTGTACTGTTTTCCAGTTGTATCCACATCTACTTTCAAAAGGAAACACAGGGTAGGCATTCAGGAAGGCAGTTAAGGCACTGTTTGGGATGCCTGCATTCCATATCAGAGTGCCTGGGTTTTCAGTCCTGGCTCTGCTTCCAATTTGAGATTCCTGCTAACACACACACTGGGAGGCACCAAATGATGGCTCAAGTACTTATGTCCCTACTATCCACATGAGGGACCCAGGAGCAGTTTTGGGCTCCTGGCTTTGTCCTTGCCTAGCCCTGGCTCTTGTAGGTATTTGGGGATTTGCTGATGGGAAATTTCTTTGCCACTCTCTCTCTTTCAAATATATAAAAATAATACTTATAAAAGGAAACAGTATCCTTTATAAAACTACTTAGCCAGAATGCTCACATTAGCTTATTTTTTCCTCATCAATTCAAAAACTTATTAGCAGACCAACAAACATCAAGTTAAACACTATGTAAGTTTATAGAGAAAGAGGAAGTATCCAAAGGAATTAAAAATAACCTATATACAAAATACAAATGAGAAAGTTCTTCTAACTCTGAAACAGTTGGTGAAAGTAAACAGATTAAGCAGTGTAACTGGTTATTGCTGCTGTGTAGGAGTTAACACCTCAAGATTGATAGAGATAGGAAGGAAAATTTAAACTCAGAGAAATGGAGGAGAGAATAGTCTGTGTGGTGATTTATTTACAGAACACAAAAGCTTTGTTTTTCCTAATTAGAAAAATTAAAAGTACTCAATGTAAAAAAATTTGTGGAAGGAAACAAAGACTCTATGGTATTTATTATGTCAACTAATATTATGGTTAGTGGTGAATTAAGCCTGTGATTATGGAATGGATTGAAATCATGTTTTAGCAAAAACTGAAAAAAAAACAAGAAAGGAAGGAAGGAGGGGGATTGAGGGAAAGAGAAAGGTGGAGAGAAGTATGGTTATCCTCTTAGAATTGTAGCTATATTGTATTAGAATTGTAGCAATATATGAAATCTGTTCTCATATTAATAAAAATTAAAAAAAGAAAATAAGCAGGGTTAACAGTTTTATGAAAATAGAATCATGCTATAAATGATAGGCTATTTTAACCTATTGGTTTACAAATGAGATACATTTTCATACCAGCAACATGTTTCTATATGGCATAGTATTTAATAGCACTTGTTCTAGAATCATACAGCCTAGATCCATAAGCTAGCTTTTTTT